AAGGTTCTAGAATGCCTCTTGCTCAACTATTGAACAATTACACTTCAACCACTGTACTTATAATTAATTTCATTAATCCCAAAATTAATTTTAATTAATTTCTGATTAACTATTAATTAAATATTACTATTTCTAATTAATATATTATTCTCATAATATATTAACAAATCATTTATTTTGATTTCTAATTAGTTTAATAATCATATAATAAATTAATAAATCAGTCAGTCTCTCTAACAGTTTTATATATATATATATATATATATATATATATATATATATATATATATATAGGCTTAGGTTATTTTGTTTCCACTAACTATTGTGTGCCAGAATGCACAGATCTGGACCGCCGGATGGAATATAATCAAAGGTCATGATCTGAGAGTCTATGATATTACAATAGGGTAACATGTACCATATAATTACATAAATTTCCGCATAAGGGTATTTTTGTCAAATTACCTATATTAAAAAATGAAAATTTTGGATTTTTAAGGGATAATTAATTCCCTTATTTTTAAATTTCTAAATATTTTAAATTAATTCAAATTTAAAAATCCGATTTTATTCTGTCAGAATGACAGAATTTCAACCATAAACTAGTAAAAATATTTTTTATTATTATATAATATATTTCCAATGCATATATTTTTGATAATTAACCCGATTTAAGAATTCTACATATTATTCATATACATCCAAATTGGAATGAGGGTCTATGATTTTATTCTTAATATACATCTGAAAATAAATACAAATCTATACATATTCTTGCCTTATACATTTTAATATAGTATACATATTCTAACAGAATATCATAAAAAATGAATAAAATTTTAAAAAAATAGCATTCTTGAATATACAATTATTGAATATATACACTTGATCTACTTCAATGGTCCAGATAATCCACTTGATTCCAACTATTCGTACGAAAATGTGATGTATTATCGTACACATGTAATTCTTCGCAAATATACTTGTTGTTGAACTCGATTCCAAATCTTTCTCTTGTATGATCAATATTGAATTCCTTCTCCATGCCATTCTAAAAGAATAAGATGCATTACTCGTTAGTATTACCAGTTAAACAAGTATACTTGTTGTTAACAAACATTCTCATAGGCATTATAACAGAATGCATTTATACAAATAAATTATGACAAAATACATTACAGAATGCACTTAAATCATAGTCTTTTCTTCTATATGTATAAACATTCTAAAGCATGTATAAATGTATTCTATGAAAATTACTAGCAACACATCTTTTATGTAGTACAATGAACATGTGTTTGCATATCTATTTTTTGAGAATATAAATACTTTTAATTCACTACTCAAAGTCTAAAGTAGAATTTCTACCATATCTATTTTGGATATCTGACAAAATGAACGGGTGTTTGCATGAAATATTTTTAATTCACTACTTATGATGATTTGGAATTCGAGATTCTATTCTGACAGAATTGGAATTCGAGATTCCATTATGACAGAATGTTGTAAGATGCATATTTAACAAAAAATGGTTAAAAATGCATCAAAATCTAACAAAATAATCAACTTCCTACATACCTGGTTCTTCAAATAAAGCTTATAATATGTTGTGATTACTTGTGATTAATGTAGCTGTAAAAAACGAGTTTATGCAATTAGATGAAATGAATAAAATGATGTCGATAGAGCCCAAATTACCATTTTAAATTCTGACAGTTAAAATTCTCTTTGGGATTCTTCAAGAATTTGAACATCAAATTCTTTTTCAGGAATTTTCACAAACACCTGTTGTGCAACATATATAGATAACAGATAATCAAAGCTCAATTATAAAGAAACGAAGGTAATTTAATTTGAACAAATATACATCACCTAATTTATAGTTTGTAACATGTATAATGCAAAACAATAAAAAATTAAGGGAAAACATGTCTTACCTGGTAAATGCTTAGAAACGAGAAACTGGGATGATTCCACTCAATCAAAAAAGACAATAGATCAATATGAGTGCCGATTGAAGGAGATAGACGCCAGGTTGAAGAATTAATCGTTGTCGAGTGATTGGAAAATTTGGCAACAAGCCAACGAGCGGTGTATGGAAGAAGAGGGCCACATGGATCTTGGTGTCGTTTGAAAGGGTAGGCAACAACCGATGGTAGAGGAATGAGGTCGTCGATGCTTGTGGTTGTTTTCGGGTGGAGATCGTCGGATGCAAATAGGAGGACGGTGGTGGAAATTAGGAAAAAATGTGAAAAGGGGGAGAATCGTGATCGGTAATGGTGGAGTAGGGTTTTTAAGATGTAGAATGACGGGTTTTAAGGAGAACTGGTCCAATATCTTAGGATTTTCCATATAAAAAGCTGCATAGATTACTATTATACCCTTAAAATAATTTATTTAATGATTTATTATTTCCTCAATTTTCATTGGTGCATACATGCATACAATAGTTGGTAGAAACATTTGAACCTGACTCTCTCTCTCTCTCTCTCTCTCTCTCTATATATATATATATATATATATATATATAGGGCTAGGTTCATGTGTTTCTTACATTTATTGTGTGCTAGAATGCACCAATAGGAATTTAGTAAAAATTAAATAATTATTTAATTAAATAAAGATAGATATTAAATGAATTCCATAATTGTACGTATATTAAATAATATCCATAATTATAATTCTCTTTTTTATGAAAACTAATTAAATTCGTCATTAATGTTGGCAATAACATTCTTTCAGAATGAATTCGCATCTACATGAAATGTATGGGTTCGTGTTTTGTTTATTGACTCACTCACTTAAAATACAAAAAATTTAAATGGAATATGAAGAACGAGAGTGTATTCTACTAGAATACACTCTCATTCTGTTAGAATATACTATCATTCTTATAGAATAAACTTTCATTCTACTAGAATACACTTTCGTTCTCGATGTTCTAAGCAACTTTGTTATATTTTTGAGTGAGTGGGTCATGGAACAAAATATGAACCCATACATGAAAAACTAGATGCGAATTCAATCTGAAAGAATATCACTGCTGATATTATTGACAAATTTATTAGTTTCCATAAAAAAGGAATTATAATTGTGGATATCATATAATATACATATAATTATTGAAATCATTTAATATTTATCTTTATTTGATTAAATGATAATTTAATTTTTACTAAATTTTTATTGGTGCATTTTAGTACACAATATATATATATATATATATATATATATATATATATATATATATATATATATATATATATATATATATATATATATAGAGAGAGAGAGAGAGAGAGAGAGAAATTCCCCATAAAGAACTAATTTTTTTACGAATTTGTCTCGTTTAGATTATCCATTCATTCTCCAAGGGTCAGTGTCTCATCGGTCGCTAGGGATGACAAATCGGATAGTCGTGTCCTGTTTTTTGTTTTTAGCTGACACGAAATGTCACGACAATTTTTTATAACATGAACACGACAAGACACGATGTTGTGTTTTGCTTTTCTAACACACAAACAACCAAATTAAAACATGATAAAAACGATCAACATGACAAACACAAAAAATATAAAATAAAATAATCATTTAGTTTATTTAAATCATAATTAAACTTACAAAGCATGAAAACGCATCTTAATATCTTGTCAATTTCGTATATAATTTTAAGCACAAACACAACATGAAACGACATCGTGTTTTTTATAGTTGACACGAATACGACACAAACACAAAGTCGAATTCCAGTTTCGTCCAAATTTCGTTTAATGTCATGAATTGTCACCCTATCGGCCGCAGTCCAAATTAGGGGTGACAATTGTGTCATGTTCGGGTTTGTGGGTCAGATCCGGGTTCATAAATCCGGGTTCATGGGTCATTGGAAAAATGTCTAAATATCACATATTAATTATTAGTTCTTACTCTCTCCTTTATTTAATAAATATATTTTTACCTTTTTAATTTAATAAAAGAAACGGGTTTAAGGTCAACCCACAAAATTATTTGCAAACACGAACACAACTTGTAAAATAAACAGGTTGGTAGGTCAGAAAAACTTAATCCAAACACGTTTATATTCATGCAGGGTTCATGTCGTGTCGAAAATTATCACCCCTAGTCCAAATAGAATACAACTTGTTATTACTCTCGTATTAAATGTTCACCCGACTCCTTACAAATGTTTTTTATTGTTTTTTTTCTAATGGTAATCAACATTCTTACTTTCATTTATTCCTATCGTGACGTTGTACTTTTGAAAGAGCCAATGACAAGGAGGTGACTTGAACATATTTGCAAAAATTCATGAAGCTTGCGGACCACCTCTGCAACCCTCTACAGTAGAAGAGGTGGACCAAACGGCTGCAGACTGTAATAAGAAGCGTGTTTGTTTTTTAACATCTGCATACTGCAGCAGATATTAAAAAATTAAAATAAACTAATTTTATAAACCGAAAATAGTTTTTTAATACGTAAAATTTAATAATGTAAATTAATTATATTTCAATAAAAAATAATGATATTTCAACAAAAAATAAAGATATTTCATCAAGAAATTATCATTATTGAATATAAAAAAAAACCAAAAAAAAAACCCAACAAGAATAAACAAAAAAAACGAAAAAAAAAAAGTGAAATAAAATTTCAACAACATAGAATCAAAATTTCAAAAAGAAAGAAAGAAGAAAAGAGGTTGGAAGAGGTTGGAAGAGGCAGTACAAGTGCTGCGCCAAACAGAGCACGCGCAGAAGTTTTTGACTCCGAAAACTTCTAAAAAACAAACAGCTACAAGATGAAAAGTGTTGCGCGTGTGCTGCTCCGCACAACAATAGGAGGTCTGAAAAGTTTTTTTCCAAAAAAACAAACACCACCTTAGTAATGAAATCAAGGGCAAAAATGGTAATTTAATTAATCTTTAATGCGTTAATATTTCCCTATTTTACACATTCTTAAGCCAAAAACCTTCTCTAAAAGGAACAAATTAAAGAAATCAATACTGTTTATGCCCAAATTGCCATCACAGACATGCCTCCAGCACCTAGAAACACAGCGACATATGAAACTGCTTGAAGCTTCATATCTTCTTGAAGCTTCTTCCCCATGAAATCCGCCGCCAGTAGATCCACCAACGCCATGTAATTCAACAGGCCTGCTGACACCGCGTCCAGTATTCCGACCACCATCAGAGCTGCCGGACTATTCTCACGGTAGACATTTGACAACCCGATTCCAAGTGCTATCCCAAATGGAGTTGTCACCGAGAAGAAAAACACCATCATTGCCTTCATCTTTCTCTCATACTCCGCCTGTATATAGTACTCATCATCGGATTAATTAAATCAATGATTTTGTTTAAGACTTAAGTTTTAAAAAAGCCAAATTGGAGTAAAATCACACTGACCTGAAGAATGCAACCACCAAGACCCATTCCCTCGAAGAATTGATGAAAGCATAGAGCAGCGACGAGAGGTCTTATGGTGCATAAATTATCCGATGCACCCATCGATAGTCCAATCACAACTGAGTGTACAACTATTCCTAGCTCTAGCACCTGCATTATCATTATCATGCATGCATATCTAACTCGTTAATTTGCTATAAAATGATCATTAAAAACAATTTTATATATGGACAAATAAGCTGTAAATAATATTGTAGATTTAATTAGGTAAAGGAAATGTACCTGAGCAACCACTCGATATCGCCTCAACTGTGATGTTGGTGAATCAATCCCAGAAAATCCATCGCCATGGAAATGACCCGAGATTTTCGGATCCAAATTCTCGTTTCTTGGCCCGTATTTCTTGTACCAACTCATAGCGTACGAATCAACCATTAATGTCAATACAGCTGACAACATTGCAATAAACGTTGTGAAGGGAAACTTTCTCCATGGGTTTTCAGGCAAGCATTTGGATGTTAGGCAATCAAATGAATCGGGTAAAACGTGCATGTATCCAGTTGCAAGAATCACACCGGAAGCAAAGGCTTTAACCAACACAAACAGCTTCTTATCGGGTTGTAAAGCGGGTATAGCCCGTGAAAGCATGGGTAGAGTAACACCCATCATACTAGCCACTAGAATTGCTGCAATGGCGACGAGTTTAAGCTTTAAAGATTTGGTTTTGCTGTGGCATGGTCCGCCGGTGGCCTTCAGGCATTCCGGGATGGTGTTGGGTGGTTGGGTGGTAGGGTTAGCACCGTGAGATGGTGGTGCGAAGGTGGAGAGTAGGAGGAGTGAGAGGATGAGGAGGTGGAGTTTCGCCATGGGTAATGAGGTTTTGTTGATGTCGTTCTTACGGAAGCTATGCTATAAGATTTACTATATAACAGGTTAGCGGGATTTAAGGATTCAAGTTGGCTGAGCAAAATGACTAAGTATCCTTTCCTAAGAGAAGGTGTTTTGAAATTTGTAAGGGCAGAATGGGAAAAAGATCTAGGAAAGAGTCAAATGGGCGGGCGTGTGGCGAGAGTGTTGTAGCTGCCGAAGTGTGTTTGATAAAACCATGATTTTGGTGATTAGGATGCTGACGTCGCACACGATATTATAACGTGGAACAACACTTTTAATTCATTTTGAATCATCGTCATATTTTTTGTATAAAAATGGATGTTATCATAAAGTGAGAAATATGTGTATAAATAAATAGTTAACCGCAAGTGATCCAACCTAGCTAGGTTGATGCATCCAATTTTATATTCATGTGGGATGTGAGTATACTCATGTGGTGTCCAGCCTAATTAGGTTGATGCATCGGGTTTTATCCTCAAGTGACGTCCAGTCTAGCTAGGTTTTATACTCATGTGGGGCGTGAGGTTGGGAGTTCCATTAACCCTTGTATGTTAAGGTTTACGTTGTACAATTCGTTATTTTAATGAGAAAACATCATTTGGAAAATTCATGTGTTTGATTTTCCTTAGCCTTAACAATGCTAAACAACGAACCAAAGCGATAAAACACTATTGCACAATTATCGGGGGCTGTGTAAGACTCTTAAACATGGCTTAACGGGGTTTACAAATATGACAATTGTAAAAATCTCATCATATTTACTATTTACTATTTACTATTTACTATTTACTATTTACTACCTACTATTTACTATTTACGTTTTAAAAATTACTATTATTAGCCAATTAGTATTAACCATCTTCTAAAAACATTTGTCATGATTACATCATGAATATGTCATATACACTAACTAGTTATATGGAGAATGTCAACATTTAACACTTATTATTAAAGAATTATATATGAATAGTAATTCTTACTAGTATAAATACAATGCTTAAGTCACTCATTTTCTACACCATTCTCTCTCAATTTCAAGACTTCCAAGGTTAATCATCAAGCTTTCTTCCACTCTTGGTTCTCGATTCGTCAAGGCATCTTCTAAGTGTTTTTGAGTTGAACACTTCTCTTCTCCAACATCCATCCTCTAAGAACACATAAGGTGAGTTCATACCCCTACATTTACATGTTTTTCTTAAGTTTTAAGGGGGGAATACAAGTAAAATCATCAAGAACACAATTAAACTTTTTCTATCAGATTTCATCAGAAAAGATGAACTTCGATCACGGACTGTTTTGGTCAACTTAAATATTTTAGTTTTCAAAATTGTTCCAGGTGCAAGTAGTTCAAACTCTTAGCTTTAAAATGGCTACTTGCACATCTCCATATGATTTTTCTACAATTTATGGTGATTTTTACAAAACTGCCTGTCATTTCAGAGGCAAACCCGGACCAGTCTGTGATTATGAACATTTTCACCTCTGTTAGAGATCACTAAAAATCATGATAAAATTTACGAACAAACTAGACTCATATTCCAAACTCTCAGAATTTGCGGATTTGGATTTAGAGCTTTGATGATTTTTCTATAAATTTTCTAAGAACAGTAACAGAAACTGTATTCAACGAAAAGTTGCTGTCAATTTCATTTCACCTTGTAACATGTTGAGCAAGGTGTATATCTTTATGTGATTATATGTTATTACAATATATGACATTTCATCTTAATATTTATATTAAGTGATATATTATCACATGTGCTTTATATGTATATTTACCAAGCCATATTCTGTATTTAACCTAGTCAATAGAATTAGCTGTATATTCCTAGATAATCTCTAAGTCAGTTTGTAATCTTGGCTATATATGCCAATCGTATCTTGTACTCATTCAATTAAATTCTAAATACAACAAAGCATTACTTTTTATGGTATCAGAGCAATCTTGCTCATACGAGTCAAATCGATCCTACCCTATTCTCTAAAATCAGTCGATCACAATCACAGCGATGGCTTCCAAAAATACCGCTCAAATCACCGCCTCCACTCACCTCACCATCAAACTTACGCCAAACAACTATCCGGTTTGGAGAAAACAGGTTGAATCAACCTTAATCAGTCTTGACCTAGACGGTCACCTCACCTCCGCACCACCGGCGACCACCCTCACAGACAAAGAGGGAAAAACTAATGCAAATCCAGAGTATCGGCCATGGTACTGCAAGGATCAGATGATTTTTAGTGCAATTTTAGGGAGTTGCTCAGAGTCAATCCAACCCCTGGTGTCATCTGCTACAACAGCCCGTGAGGCTTGGAATCGACTCAGCTCCAGTTACGCCTCTACTTCCAGGTCTCGCATAATCTCCCTCAAATCTAAACTTGTGAAGAACCCTAAAGGATCACGATCGGTCACAGAATTTCTCCAGGACATGCGTGCTATCGCCGATTCCCTGGCCCTTGCCCAGAGCCCCGTCACCGAAGAGGACCTCATGGTCCATATTCTCTCACAGCTTGGCGACGAATATCACACAATTGCTGCTGCTCTCAAGGTACGAGAAAATCCCATCGAATACTCAGAGCTGTTTGACAAACTTACTGACTTTGAACGTAGCCTCAAAGAAGCCTCTCCTCCTTCCGATATCCTGCCTACCACAGTGAATTACACTACCCAAAATCAAGGATTCAACAATCGGTCATCCAGTAACAACTCTTACAATCGCCATACTCGATCACCACCGTCCTATCAGTCTCGTGGCTCTCAGCAGTCACAATGGAATAACAATAACAACCCTGGTGGTAACCGAACACAAAAAGCAACCAGTTTTGTCAATTCTGTAACATCCCAGGTCACCTCACCAAGGATTGCCGGAAACTAGCACGCTTCCTCCGCGACAATAACATCACCACCGACAACAACAGAACTTTACCGCCTACTGCCAATGTCACCATGTCCTCCCCAGCCTCTCCAAAGTGGCTTTTCGATACCGGGGCATCCAATCATGTTGCATCAGATCCTACCTCCCTCCATCACGTGTCGGAATACGGAGGACCCGATGAGATAGTGCTTGGTGACGGTACCTGCTTACCTATCACACATACTGGTCACTCATATATTCACACATCTCACAAACCATTAATTTTATCTAATGTGCTTCATGTTCCTAAATTAAACACGAATTTAGTTTCGGTTGGTGAATTATGTGATACTAATCTTGTTTCGGTGGAATTCTTTCCATCTCATTTTTATGTGAAGGATCTGGACACGGGGGCGCGACTCATGCGAGGAGAGAGAACTGATGGCGTTTACCTCACTCGGTTACCTAAAACACGTTCCATTCATGTCACCTCCAAGACCTCACCACTTCTTCTTCATCACAAACTTGGTCATCCTTCGCGTCAAGTCTTCAAGCAACTAGTTTCTAAGTTAGGTTTTAAGTTTCAGTCTGAGTCTGATGTTCATTGCTCATCTTGTTCAATTAATAAAAGCCATAAATTGCCATTTGGTCAAAATTCCTTTGTTGCTACAAAACCACTTCAACTCATTTATTCTGATGTATGGGGACCGGTACAAAAATCTGTTGATAAATTCTCTTATTATGTCATCTTTGTCGATTATTTCACCAAGTATACATGGCTATATCCTTTGGCTCACAAAAGTAACGTTGCTCTCATCTTTCCACAATTCAAAGTGTTAGTCGAAAAATTCTTCCAGCTACCCATTGTCTCCTTAGTTAGTGACAATGGAGGTGAATACATCGGTCTTACATCCTACCTTCAACAACATGGTATATCTCACTACACAACTCCACCCCACACTCCCGAACAAATGGTATTGCGGAAAGACGTCACCGTCACATAGTTGAAGCCGGTTTAGCTCTCCTCCATCATGCTCACATGCCATTAACCTTCTGGTCCCATGCGTTCCAAACAACTGTGTACCTTATCAACCGCCTTCCAACACCTATACTCCAAAATAAATCCCCCTTTGAATGCCTCTTTAACCAATCACCAAACTATCATAAACTACAGCCCTTTGGTTGCCTATGTTATCCGTGGCTCCGCCCTTATACCACCTCCAAATTACAACCACGATCCGCCCCATGTTTATTTCTCGGATATTCATCATCTAAGTCCGCATACAAGTGCTATGATACTCAAAACAAAAAATTATACCATTCCAGACATGTGGAGTTCATTCCAACAACATTCCCTTATACCACCGAAAACCTTCCTGAAATACTCCCTACCCCTGACACTCTACTCGACTCACTCACACCTGAACAAAACCCTCTACATACTAACGACCTGCCCACCTCTCCAAATACAGCACCGCCACCTACACCTTCCCCTCCTCTCTTCCCTACTCCCACTACAGCCGATACTATCCAACCAGAACCCATCACCGACTCCACTGCTGCACCCCGAGGCTGAACCAGCCACCCCTACCCAGCAACCACCATCCCCAGCAACTCTAATCCACCATCACCAACAGTACAACCACCTCCACCTCCCACAGCCTCACCACTTCCTGCCCATCGGCATAGAAAACCCAATACCAAATACTACAACCAATCATTTGTTAACTCCGCCACTTTACACCCCATTCCGAACACCATCGAACCAACCACCCATACCCAAGCTCTACAGGATCCTCAATGGCGCACTGCCATGGACCATGAGTTCAACGCTCTATTACACAATGGTACCTGGGAACTAGTGCCCAAATCCTCCCACACTCCAATAGGATGCAAATGGATTTTTCGCATTAAACGAAACCCGGATGGCTCCATCTCCAAATATAAGGCCCGCTTAGTAGCAAAAGGATTCCTCCAACAACAAGGCAAAGACTACTTCAAAACATTCAGCCCGGTTACTAAACCTGTCACAATTCGCACGGTCCTATCCATTGCCCTCTCCTCCAACTGGAACATCCGTCAACTAGACGTTAACAATGCTTTCCTTCATGGCACCTTGCA